AACACAATAATGACGCTTCCCATTCGATGACAAATTCTTAATTAATGTCCAACTATTAATATGGTTGTTTTCTGTTACTAATGAAGTATCACATATGGTAACTGACACAATAAGCTATTTATTTTCCGAAATACTGTGGTGTTCCATATTAGAAACTGTCCCATATTAGGCGTCATTGCCCTATATGAACAAAATCGATGGAAAAACACCACGAACTTGTTTCTTCTATATATCAAAAAGTAATTTCCGTACTATCTCTCGGCAGAGCATTTTAAAATATTATGTCGCTTTACGCTTGCTTTCGCGTGAATGCGGCCACCGTATTTCTCCTCAAAATCAGAAGTTTCGCAGCATATGTCGACTGCATCCAGTGGATCAGAAAAGGTCGAACTTTATTAATTAAACTCTGTATGGTAGCTCTACTCGACAGAGTTCTAATTGTGTGTGAATTTGTGTCGCTAACTTCCCTCGAAATCCGAAGGATACGCAAACATGATTCGGAATCACGAAACATAAATTACGACGAATATAAGTGAGGTATCGATTAATCACCTTAATGGAAAGGTCTTTTCAATGTAGTTGAAATGGGTATAGCCAGATATACTCAAAAATGCCCTTGATCCAAATCGAACAGGTGGTGTATCATCCGGTAGCTTGCCAAGAGCATTTTGTGTTAAATTACAGATCTCTACTTAATGAGAGAGTAATTATTGGAAAAAATCAGAATATCGTGTTTTATTGGATTTCCTTTATTTCATTGTATAACAATTTTAAAAGAAAGATGTTACGCATTGCAGCTACAACTTTTTCAATTCACAACCGTAATTACAAAAAAGTAAAAATAATATTGTTTATGTTATATTTTTAAAACAACAACATATTATCATTGTTCTAACATTTGTCAGATCTTGTAAAATGTAACGCAGGTAGTCGAAAAAATTCATATCAAAGTTGCTTTCATGTGAGAAAAGAAATAATATTCTAAATTCTGGTAGTTCCTATATTAAACAAGTACGTTAAATGAATTTAAACAGTCTAAATTTAACAAAATAATGTATGCATTTAAGAAACTACAATACAATCAACAGTAATTATTCTATATTACTTTATAAAGTGTCTACCATATTTCCAAGAAAGCAATTGAGCTGTTAGTAAAGTATCTATTATCAGACTTAACATTTTTTATATATTCTCTATACATTTCTTTTGTTTCCAACTAAATAACAATTTATTTAGTCTTTGTGGAATGAACATAGATTTCAGTAGATAGTTATTTAATATTTTATACACACTCACACACACACACACACACGCACACACGCGCGCGCGCGTACGCAAAATATTTGAAAATGTTTGAAATATGTATTAACCCTTTCTACTCAAAAGTTTCTTCGCTGCATGTATTCATTATTTTCTAATGGAGTATTAATTAAACTATTGGTCCTATTACTTACAAATGATGTACAAAACAACGGATCGAACTATTTTATTTCAATATTTTATATCTGATTATAATATGTAACATATGATATTAAATATTGAATTTTGTAATTCTGCTATATCAAACCAAACGGCAACTGTGAATCGCCGCCCTTCGAGTGCGAAGACTTAACTTAAAATATAACCAAATACAACACATAATAATGTAATATAAATAATTTATATATACTCTATATCACTTTCAGAATATTTTTATATAAAAGTTCGTTGTCATTTGCTCGAAAATTGGAAGATACTTTAATAAAACTGTAATGAACTTGGATTTTACAATTTAATAAATGATTATTGTATACAACATGTATACATCAAATACTTTCTGAAATATAGTATTATAAAACTAAGCAGACATATATTATAAAAATACCCGTCATAAAGCCCAACTCGAAGAAATAAATAGAACAGTACGATAGAAATAAATTCGGTTACTCGATTAAAATCTATTAAAACTTGAATCACTGTAATTTATAAAGCAGTCGTGATGACTAAGTGAAACAATTCAGAAAACTTTCAACTATTTAATACTTTAACAAGGTTCAAACATATTGTTGGGTTTATTAAATAATGACACTTCTTTATTTATTAAATAGAATACAAATCTTATTACAACAGGACTATTAACACGAAGGACAAAACAAACAAAACCAATAATAACAAAATCGTTACCCAGAACAACAAAATATACGTCGATATGTATGTATATATTATATATAAGTGCTATACTTTTCTAACACATATTTATATACCTATAATAAATAATTAAATTAGAACTTCAATATACTTCGATTTTAACATGCAACATAAGTTATGAAAGCTGCTATAAAGGAAAAATAGTATGAAACGAGACCCAAGAAAATTTTTAATTTTCGGAATCAATAAATATAATACATACTACTGTTCTATATACCACGTGCAGTATGCAAGTATGCAATTTGGGATACTAGTACATGGCCCTAATTTCAAGCGACCCCACCCGCAAGTACTAAACCCCATTACGGATCCAATGTATTCGAATTCGATATATACGTGAGTTTACCATACGCTACTGGGACACCAAATCCCAATTAGAATTTGGAGCTCTGCTGACTATAAATAAACGAATTATAAGCATAACGTTGACGCTTATTATAAAACTATTAACAATATTCTTATAGCAATATATATTTAAAATTCAATATTAAATTCTGTCCCTTAACTTATGCAAGATTATTCTTTGTGTTAGTTGCAGATAATATCATCGATTTCATACAAAAATAATGAATATTTATAACAAGAAATATTGTCGGGTGCTAAGGTTTAATTTATTATTACTCTATAATAAAATTGTTTGACAATTTGTGATAAAAATACAATGTAATTGAAGTAATATGTAAAACTTCAATAACTTCAGTATTCAGAATTTTGTTATTGCAATTGAAACATTTTATTCATTGTTTTAATACATAACTTTTAAAGAATCTCTGTGAATTTTGTCTTGATATTACTATTAAAGGTACTCTTAATAACCATTTTTCTACGCTTTGCTATAAACAGTACAATGATAACATCAACGCGTTTTGAATAAATTGACGTTGCTTTTAAGGGATAATTAATAGTGACATCAAATCTTTTAAATTAAACATAGTACGTTCGAGAGAGTATACTTTAATTATGGTAACATTTATCTACCCGGAAGTTTATTAATGAGCAGTCTGAGGCCAATACTTATCGACACGAACTCTATTAATTTTCCGTTAGGCAAAGTTGCAAGAGAAAGTTTTGTAAATTACACGGTTCTTAATATTATATTGCTGCACTTGCATGACATATTACTTGAATTTAAAAGAGTATGTAACACGGTGTATTAAAGAAAAAGATAATAAATGTAATTGCATTTCATATATTAATGAAGTTCATATACTATTGAAAGAAAATCAGAGACCGATTAAAAGTTTGTATCAACCTATAAATATGCAATTAATTCACACGATTTTGAATATTTAATTACATTTTGAAATATTCAATTTTTAATCTATTAATTCTTTTGTCCATATTATCTCACGTTTACTGTATTATTTACAGATATCATATATAGTTTTCAAAACATACCGTTAAAAGAAAAATATAAAATAGCAAAGGTAAAAGTTACTTCAGTATATAATATTTTGCTATATTGTGTTGTATTTTTTGGAAAAGGGATAAATGGTCCAAAACTTTTCGTTGACATTATATACATTATCATGAGATGTTAAATATTATTAATCACTAAAATGTTTAGGTGTCGCATGAAATAGTAAGACATTTAAAGAAATCATAAAATTACTTTTTTATAATTAATTTTTATGATTAAGATCGTATAAATATCGTAGAAAATTATGTAGTCAATGCTTAAGAATTTAGAAGTTATAATTATATCTAAGGGGTATACTACTAAATGTTAGTTTCATGTTTCATATTAGTTGTATACAACAATAATTTAATTCGTTTTTATTAGTTTTAATTACTTTTGGACCATACGATTCATTTTTCAAAAAATACAAAATTTTGTATACGGAAGTAACTTCTACCATTGTTGTTTTATATTTTCCTTTTAATTTTTCGAAATGTACATCAATTACGGTCTTTAAAAAACATTATATTATTTTGTATTAATAAAAATTAATTTTAATATTTTTTACTTAAATTCTACATGCATATGTTCCTATTTTCCTCTACACGTATGTATTTTGAGTGTGATAGATGGACGAATAGTTTTGTGAGTGTAAGTTTGACGTTTATAGACATGGTTCATACAAAATTGTAATATGCATTGCTGCCTTTCAATAATATACATCATACTGTTGCTTTATTTTATATCTTATTGTAGATTAATAGAATATATAGTATGTCAGTACTGACAAATTGACAAATTATCAAGTGAACATAGAAATATGCAAAATCTATGCATGTACGCAAGAAATATACACTTATGCAAAACATATGCAATTCACAAAATATGCAAGATAAACAATATAATTTTGCTATATACACATGATATAACAAATTTCTATTCAATTCCTACATCTTTTACATTTTTGTTACAAAAATATTTATTTGCATAAACATCCACCGTTTTGTAATAACGATAAGTATTTACACTTCCATAATCGATATTATGCTATAATTAAATCTAATGTAATTAAAATCTTACAAGTCTGTTTTTTAGGTCATACGTTACATAATTAATTTTATAAGTTATTTAATTACGAATTTACAAGTACTTGGTGGATGATTATACCAGAAATGAGATCAAAACAAAATATTTTCACGTGAGAATGCCTCTAATTCCGCTAATTGTAAATGGCACAAAGATATGACCGTTATTGTGGTTAACACTTTGCATAGTTATGTGCATTCATTGAAACAATAGCAACTAAACGTTAATCGGATTACCGAGATCAAGCGTGACCACTTTGTAGACCATTGAATAAAACATAACAAATTGGTATTGTCATTAATGGCCGCTCGATTTTCTATAATTTCAGGTGCAACGATGTGGACTCGTTAATAGCATACGTGCACATATACGACAAGAAGGAGAAAATAGATTCGTTCTGCGGAGGAATGCCGTCACGACCTGTCATGAGCAGCGGACCACAGCTTTCCTTGGAATTCAACGGTATCACGTCGTCCCGCCATTTTCGAGGTTTCAAAGCGACATACACTTTCACCGAGAGTGAGTACAATTAACGATTTACCTTTATTTATTAATTTGTTCGCAGAAAAATTTCACTGTTATGATATACAGTAGAACGTCGATTATCCGAACTAATTGGGAGACAAATCCATTTATCCTGTTAACCATGGAATTTAGTTTTTAAAATACATTTCAATGAAAAACCAAAGCAAAACAAAGAAGAATTATTCGTTTATCTGAAAAAATAAATAACTCATCATTCAAAGAATTAGTATTATTTTGAGCTTTAAGATGACGCGTATACTCGTCAAACGCAGTTAACTAATTAAACGAACAATTTTTTAAATTATCGGTTTAAAGGAACCAAAATGATTATATCATGAATAAACCAAAAATTAAACAGTTTTCAAACATACTTCCACCGTTTTTTAGGTGTTCATTAATATTTAATGTATCTTCTAATTTCAGCAACACTTTTTTCCTTTTACCAATTTTAGCAGATGGTATAAATGTAATCTGAAACGTATACGTTAAACTCAGATGAGATGCTCAAATGAGACACTTGAAACAGAAAAGTTACGTCCCAAAATGTAAATATTATTGAATACAAAATATAAATTTGTATATAAATAAATAATTCATTCGTAAAATCAGTTATATGGATTTTTTAAAATCGAATAATTGGTGTTCGGATAGTTGGTGTTTTATTATTATATGAGATGAAAGGAATAGTTGATACTATTCTCTAACAGTTTCTGTAAATTCAAATTATGAACACGTTTTGTAGTAAAAATGTTACTGTTAAACTGACAAGTGACATCATCCGAGCGTGACATGTTATACTTTTGAAACTTTGTAGAGGTGCAGTACATTGGAAAATATTTTATACGTATTTTTCGTGGTCTATGTGCATGTAGAAAATGTGAAACTACCGTTCAGCATTCACACCGGAAAGCTATTTTTCCATGTAACTCGAAAACTAATAGAGACGAAAAATTTCTTATAGAGAGTTTCATATCGTCGTATGAGCAAAACAAGTGTAATCTGGTACTAATCGAGGTCGTGTGGAATCGTATATATTGACCCTTTAATTGAACTTAAACTTTTCAATAAATTATGTCATAACATTTTTTCTGTTCGATATCAGTAATACTGCCCTTAGTGTTCACAATAATCGATATATGTATCTATGTACAAAAATTTAATTTAATTTAACACAATTCGATCGATCATTTCAAACAATACTTCAACCAATTATCAACTGAAACAATATTTCAAATAATGTTATTTCAAAAGTGATCAAATACATGGAAATAACTATGAAATAAAATAAAATGCATTTGAAATAATACTCGTGCAGGTGTACTCGATCATTTTTCTAATCAAACTTTTTCGAAAACAAAGTTGAAATGAAGAATTCAAAAGAAATAGAAATATTAAAACAAAACAATGAAAAGTAATTACTATTTAATAATATACATAGTAGGAAACATAAATATCTTTACAGTAAAAGAATAAAGTTATTTCTAATAAATATAATATATAATTAATTTTATATTTAATAGCAGTTAATTATATATTAAATAGATATTTATACAAATTTCCATTTTCATAGGCAATTCCTCAAACATCCGTATCAAAGATAGAAATACATATATACTTCGTCAATTAAAGAACTTATTAACTCACAAATGAATTTCACACTTTAATAAGTTTTCATTTTATTAACACCATTAGATTCGTTTAGATATTTCCTCTTTCTGTATTTTTCTTTTTAATATTTTTTCTAAAGTACTCCTATCTTTGAGAAAAATAAAAGAAAATTATTGTTGGTGTATATATGTAAATACTTGTGCCTCAATTTCAAATAATATTTCAAATACATAGAGAATGTAAAAAAATACAACTACTCCCATTATATATCAAAACTTTTGATACACAAATATTTACATAGTGCACAGTATACATACTCTCATATCTAAATTGCATCATGTTTTATGTTGCAACAATATTTTTTACCCGATTATCATGCACGAGGGCATTTAAAATTTATATTCTATACAACACCAATTGATGGTGTTGAAACACTTCGTCAGCGTGTCGAACAACGTTGCCTGCAAAACCGTGCAACACCCAACGCTTTCCAACGAGTTAGACAATCCATGGTGAGACGTATTTACGCCCGTATTCAAGCTAGAGGTGGTCGGTTCGAGCAATTTCTCTGCAGACAGGCCAACAACTAGTCCAACACAAAAAGGACTATAACTCTGAAACAGGACATGCGTTGCTATAAAGTTGTTTTTTTGTTAGTTTTGTATAGTAAATCCACATCTGCAGTGCTTTCTATGAACCTGCAGCAAAATAATTATAACTTTTAGGAATACATACAGTATTATATTATATTATATTACACTATTTTTACAAATGTTTTCAAAATGTATTAAACTGTTTCTTAATGAATTATTTCTTATAAATACAGGCTGTTTCAAAATAAATAGGAAATATGTTGAGGGTGACTCAGCATATCAAAACAATAAGAAAGAGTTCATATAAATATATGCCCTATTTGACCTTGTTTCATATATATAGGGTGAGTCACCTAATGTTTGCACCTCAGATGTATTTGTTCTTTTTAAACATACGTCGAATGCCTTAAGGACAATGTTGAATGGTTCAGCGGGATTCATATGATACCAAAAAGATTTTTGTTTTTGTGTCATTTTTCTTAGATTGTCATTGACAATGTTTATCAATGTGTCACGTACTCTTACTTTGTGCTGTCGTCTACGATTTCCACAGTTCAGTATAATTTCATTACCGAAGAAAACAATAATGTGGTATCAACATGGCGTTTGCCCTGCACATTATGCATAGCAAACAAAGGAAGTTTTATCAGGATAATTCCCTAATAAGTGAATTGGTCGTGGCGGAGTATTTCCGTGGCCTGCTTCGTTCACCAAATCTGTCACGGTTAGATTATTTTGTCTGGGGTATATTGAAAGATAAAGTGTATTATGAACCACCAACAACGGTAGAGGATATGCAAAAACGAATTCATGAAGCGTGTGCTGCACTTGCTTCGGAGATAATTCAAGATGCGACTTCTTCATTAATTAATAGGTTGCATTACTATATTCGTGTTAACGGACATCATTTTCAGTATCTAAACACTTGATAAAGATTAAAATGTTTAACATAAGCAATTTAGTTATTACTGCACTTTTACTACCTTATTTATCCATAATTTTATCATGAGAATCCTACGCGACTCCATCGAAGTAAGAGTACGTGACGTATTGATAAAAATTATCAGATAAGCACTGTCATCTTCGCGAATCACTCGGAGACATTCACTTTACGCGGATCAAACTATTGCTGATATCTCAATAACTATTAAGTTTAGGCCGTATGAAGATCGACACTTTTATACTCAGAATTTGATAATCTATCGATCTATGGTAAAAAAAAAGTAGGACCCATTCAACTTTGTCGTTAAAACATTTGATGCATCTTTAAAAACAACAAAGATATTTGAGGTGCAAATATTAGGTGACACACCCTGTATATAAAAGCAAAAAAGCATTGGACTGTGTTAAAAAGCTTTCAGTTCAGCAACTTGTGGTGTTACCGTGTACTAAAATACTTAATGACATTTTGCTCCAGTCATTTCGGAATCTACATCTTAATCAATATTTCTTTTTAATTTTTTGTTTTTGAATCTCGTAAATATTCAGAAATGAATTTCATATTTAAAAAGTTTTCATTTTGTTAACACTATTACATTCGTTTAGATATTTCCTCTTCCTTTATTTTTCTTCTTTTCATTTTTCCTGAAGTACTCCCAACTTTGAGAAAAATAAAGGAAAATTATTATAAGGAAACTTCACAAATGAACTACTTTCATTTTTTAGCATACATATAAGTATTTTTAGTTTTCCTATGTATGATGTTTCTTTAATTATTTGATATATATATATATATATATTTAGTATCTTATTATAGAGTGCGAAATATATACGTCACACTTTGGAAATGACAAATGATAAGTCGTTGATGATTTCGAAAGATTTTCAACGATTGAATGAATCAGATGTGCGAGAAAATATTTCTCATGATGCGTATTCCCACCAAAATATTAGACAATAGACTGTAAGTGGTTTATATTTGATTTTTAGAGTATCCTTTACATACTGTAACAACTAACAAAACCAGCCCAGTTTTTAATTCCGACATAAATACTTGACTTACGATACACCTATACAACATGCTCGGTACTCTGATCTTAGTATATGTAATATACACTGAAAAATATAATCTAGTCCGAATAAAACAATGTTACCTAACACACTGATTATTTCTTAATGAGATAGGCTATGCCCCAAAAATGTATAAATATAGTATTTATTTTAATGGTCTACGGAAGTAAAAATATTTACAAAGATTTTTACAATTTTCGTGTTACCAGAACAATATGAGAGATTTCATTTCATTGCTTAAATGTAACTAGTCAAATTACTGATTTATTGTTCCATTAATTTTATAATGAACCATACTTTTAAACTTTCGTTTTGTAAAGACAGTGTACGAAAATTATTCTTTCGTTACGAATGGTATTGTATTTTAGGAAAAGGATTGGAAGTATACATAGTGAAGTACAAATCTTTTAATAAAAGATACCTTCGCTTAATCTCGAAGCTTTATTTCGCTGGAATTAAAAATGTGTACATGTTTCTAGAAAGAAAAGCTCCAAGATACATCGACAGTTTCAATAACTTTCCTTCTCATTTCGAGCACCAAAATGTCATTAGTACGAAATGAGTATGATAAAACGAACAGTTATTGTGATTGTCAGTATATTGTACAGCTTGTCTTTAAAGAAATTGACCACAGTTCCGCTTCACCACTAAAAATGAAATAAATTAAATAAATATCTTCTGAACTATTATTAGCCAAAATAATTAAGTATAAACGTTAGCTTACTCTTTATCTTTATATAGGAAATAATTATTTATCATGTTTGAATAAAAATATTTTCAATT